TATTCGTCTCAACCACTATGTCATTTTCTCGAGACCTATCAATTTCCAGCTTAAGTTTTTTTGGTTGTTAGAATTTGAACTGTCTGATTTTTTCTATGATTCAAGCCTCTAATCCCATGGGGTGCCCTATTTTTTCTACAGTGATTCAAGCCTCTAATGCCATGGGTAAATTTACACATGCGTGGGGTTTGTATAAGGTAGTCATCTTATACTATACAAGTGAGGTGCACCTCAAAATTTGTTGGAACATGTAGTTTTAGGATTAGAAACTTTATGATGGCTTGAAAATCTATGTTCAATCCAATTCCAAAAATAGTGCAAATCAAGTAGATCTATCAACATTTGAAGATGTTGAAAATATATCGGATAATTTTTTACAAGATATATTATTTTTAGGACTTGAAATTCTTTTTTTCTTATATATATATATTTGTACATTTTGAGGCCGAGATAATCGATATGAAGGTTTTCCAACTTCAATGCACTCTTTTCTATGGGAGTTTTGAGTGCTTCTTACTTCTATAGAATAAGGTAAGAACGTTATTTAAATCTTTTCCTTCCCATATTGTGGAAAGGAAATAATGATAAACTATCACATGAACAGAGAATTTTATATAGGAATTGAGAAAAGCCGTATTACTACACGGTCCATAGTATACCATGGAAAAAGTTTATGTAAGGTGGTAATATAAGTAACGTACACCTAAAACACCCACTAAAGAAGGTTGTTCCTATACTGGAAAACTCTCAAATCAGTCATTTTGACCTCGAGATTCATAGAAAAGTAAAAAAAAAAATCTTCAGCCTTTAAAATAGTTCATCTTCCAATACATTATATAGACCATCAATTTTCAAGTGCTTATAGATCTGCTTGATTTTCACTATTTCTGGATCTTTACATTTCAAAATTGGGGGCAACAATAGATTTTCATAACATCACAAGGCTTTGCGGCACGGAATCTGCATTTTCGGCATAATTTTGAGGTGCACCTTATTTCAATAGTATAAGGTTGATACCTTATACAAACCTCACCCTTATATTATTTTGAAGTTCTACTTTTTCAAGTTTTTTGAATTTCTAGTATATTCCTTATAAGGCTAACATTCAAACTAAACACAAAAATAATGATATACTTGGGCAGTTCAACAGTTGGATTCTGTAACTACCAACTCAGTGTTTCGTTTTTTTTGTTTTTATTGAAGACGATCATTCAAACAAGTCAATTTATTTGTGTTTTGGATGGTTTGAAAGTTGGAAGTTCAAAACCTCCAAACATATATCATGGGCAGTTCCAAAGATGAACTTTCAAACCTCCTAAATACATTTTTTTTTTTTTTAATCTTAGCTGTTTGAAAGTTAGACTATTAAAATAATGTTAAATACCTTAACATCATCATCATCCGAGCATTGTTCCAACTATTTATAGGAACTTTTTTAGAGGTGCATATGACATACGATGCTATAGGTGTAGCAAATAGGGAATTAACCAAATATTATCCAATAATCGTGTATAACAAATGTATCTTCCCTTTTTCAATGGAAAATCATTCCATGGATTAGGGGATGCATTTCTGCATTTACGTCCCTTAAGACATAAATCATCCTTTTTAAGATGGATGCAAATGGCTGGTCTATCTAAAAGAGAAATGATCATATAGGACCCACTCTTATTCATGTGTGTAGGACTTCAAAGGATCACCATTAAATTTGGCACAGATCTCTAAAAAAATCAAATCTGACACCCATATGATACTTTTTTAGGGATCCATGCCAAATTTAATGATAATCCTTTGAAGTCCTACACATAGGTGGAGGAAGGTCCTATAGGATCATTACTCTTTCACATTCATGATCTTCATGTTAGAGATTATATGTTCCTTAAAATTTGGATCCAAATATCCATCTCCAAAGAATATATTTAAGAGGGGACTAATTGCTACATGTGAATCCTAGGACTCATACAAAACGGTGTCCTTTTTCAATTGCATTATTAAAGTTAACTCACCTAAAAAGCCCTAAAGGCCTATGATTAGGACCTCACATTGTTTTTTTTTTTATGGGTAATTGACCCCACATGTTAGTAATGGAAGATAAGCAAACTAGCTAATGTAAGATACTTGGACTCCTCAGATTAGGAAGCCACATTGTAATTAACATAAGATAAGCAAATTAGCTAATGTAAGAAACCATAAAATCCTATGACTAAGAACACACATTGTTATTGATGGAAGATTAGCAAATTAGCCATAGGGCAGGCAATGGGCAAGGGGCCCAGCCCAGCCTTGCCTAGAAAAAGGAGATCTTGGGCCCTGAATTGTGGCCCAAGGGCCTGCGTCGCCTCGGTTATCTCGACATGACTCTTTTTTTTTATTTTTTTTTATTTTTTTAATTTTCTTCAAGTTTTTGGCCCGGCCCTGACAAGGCCAAACCTTGGTCGGCCCGACTCCTTTTTTTTCTTTTTTATTTATTTTCCTTCAATTTTTTTGCCTAGGTCAGCCCAGCCGTGACAAAACCAAACCTTGGCCAGCCCGACTCTCTTTTTTTTCTTTTTTTCTTTTTTTCTTTTTTCTTAAGTTTTTTTAGCATGGCCAAGCCCGGTCCTAACAGGCCCAAAACCTTGGCCGACGCTACGTTGCCAACTCTCAGAGAATCTAACAAACTGTGTAACTCGTATGACTAAGAAGTCACATTGTCATCAATGATGGAAGAAAATTAAAAAGTCCCAAGAAAAGCATAGCCACTCACTTCACCACAACTACAACTGTGGTGCAAGAAATGTGGGGGGTTGAAGTGGGCCACGTGCCCACTAAAAGACAATGTGTCCGATAATCAAGGTCACTCGTGAACACGGTAACAATTTGGACGGTCAAAAGACACAAGCATGCTCTTTCTTCCTCATGCAAAGTGAAAAAGAATGACACCTCCCTTTCTCTAATTCACCAAAAGCGCCCCCTTTTCACTGGGTGGCGTGGGACTCAAGTTATGGCTCGAAATTTTGTCGTCCCGTGGGAGCATTTTCACCATGTGCTACTATTCGGGGGACTCCAATGTTTTAAGTCTTTTTTTTGAAAAATTGGGGATTTGGATCTAAATTTGCAATTGGGAATCGGTTAGGTCAATATGAATTATGTAAAAAATATCGGTATCAACCCGTTCTTTTTATGAACCAACCAGTTTCAGCTGTTTCTAGCAGGTTCTTTGAAAAAACAAGTCATTTATGTCAAAGAACCAGCCTGAACCAACCCTATTATTTTTTTAGTTTTTGCTGACCGAAAACAGTTGATTCAGGTCGCTTCTGATTCTATCATGTTCTTTTACAGAACCAACTGGGAACTGACCAAAATTAACCCCACTTATTTTTTTAAAATTTTAAACTTTTCGGCTTGTTAGACTAGATCTCCAATCCAATTGCAAACATGCCAAACTAGATCGGAAATTCATGGAAGCGATCCAATTTTTTTGTTATTCAATTTCTTCTTTGTTGCCGAAGGGAGAAAGTATACAATATGATACTGCAGGAGTACGTGCAGCATGCAAGGGTATATACAATACAATAGAATAAAATGATTTTTAGACCGCCGGCATTTAGAAGTGTTATGTACTATCAGAATGCAAAAGGGGGGACATAGATTTAAGTATGAGCAGAGAGAGAGAGGGGGAGAATCTCGAGACCAAAAGAGGGGGGCACACGTGAAGGGGCCCAAGGAAAAGCAGGAAAATAGGAAAAAAAAAAAAAAAGGCATGGTAGGGCCGCGTGAGTTGGATTAGACGGTCTCTTTTGTTTCCACTTGCTGTTTATTGTTTGTCCTGGTGCAATCATCGCCCCTCTTGGATAAGCCTGCACAGGACCATCATAATTTATTTTTATCTTTATCTTTCCCGCTCACATCCAGCTATCCTCCCACTTTCTCTCTCTAGAAACATTTCTGTATCGGTTACCAAGAATGACAACCATAATTAACTCGGAAGCGCAAGCACGAAAGCTCTACTCATCTCCCAATAATACTCTATTTTCCCCTACACGGGAAACTCCTGTTTGTCTTTAAATACCTAAAAATATCAGCCTTTAGCCGAGACCGCTCAACCATAAAAATATATAAAATTATATTTCTTATTAAAGGTCTCGATCTCAAATGTTACAAAAACTTAATGGGAACGTATTCAATAAGACTATTTATCTTTGATACAAGTTTTGTCGATCAAGTATAGTATTTGATAAGAGGTGCGAGTTAGTTAAAGTGGAAGGACTGAAAAAAACAAGAAACAGATCCAAAAATTCATGATTGATATTGATTCGAAAAGATATAGAGATTTATGGTCTCATTGAAGATATGACATTTAATAGAGCAAAATAAATGGTAAAAATTCAAGTAACGGATCCCAATTAATTGAAAAAAAATTAAAATAATGATAATGATGATCTTTGGTAAGAGGTGAATACAATTGATCTTGACTATTGATTGTGAAATTGGGTGGCTACTTTTATTGCATTGACCAAGCTCAAAGTTCAATTTTTTTTTTTTCGAACTTTATAACACACCGTAGCTATCTAAATTCACATCACATCGAAGCTATCTAAATTCACATCGGATGGTTATAAATAATTATGACCTCATTACATCAAAGATAAATGATCTCATTGTATACAATCCCAAACTCAATATTATATTTTTTTCCCTTTTTTTTTTTGGGTGATTCAATGGGGAAGAAAACCCTATCCATTTTTTCAAATAGTTTAGAAACCCTATCCAATTTTTCAGATAGTTTAGGAATGAACCTTTTTGTTTTGTTTTATTTTTAAGGTGGTAATAATGGAACCATTCAGCAGATTCAATGGGGGAAGACAGCCCCATCCATTTGTTCAAATAACTACGGTGTGTAATAAGAAAGGAAACAATGCAATGACTAGAGGTGCTACGACCAAAACTCAAACTCCTTTCCCTTTGAAAGTAACATTTAATAATTTTTAAGTGGTTTTCAAAATTTTAGAATAAAAATCCTCCTAAATTGTTGGCTTGATTGACGGACTAGATTGATAGTGTTCTCTGGCGGGACCATAGTGTAGGCACCCTCCCGTCTCAATGTCTTTCGTACATCTCTCACCAGCAAAGAAAGCTCTACTTATATGTACCTCTAGATGTTGAATGTTCTCTCTCTCTATCAAAACCTAGAGAGAGAAAATAGTGGTGAGAAGTTCGACAATGGAGTTGGTGCTAAGGTGGATTCTCTTGCTGGGGCTATGGTGCTCACCAACTTTGGGCCACAAGACCTTCCTGGTTCACATGGCCAAGTCCATGATGCCTGAGAGCTACAATGGCGACCATCAGGCATGGTACATGTCCATCATGAAATCCGCCGTTCAGAGCACCGAAATCCTGTACACCTACGACACAGTTCTCCATGGCTTTGCTGCCCGGCTTACGGACGAGGAGGCGGAGCTCCTCCGGCAGCGGCCGGAGGCGCTGTCGGTCTATGAGGAAGCTGTTTATCAGCTACATACGACGAGGACGCCGGAATTCTTGGGCCTTGACGGTAACAATGGGCTATGGCCTGAATCTGATTACGCGACGGATGTTATCGTCGGTGTCTTGGACACGGGTGCGTCGCCTGAGAGCAAGAGCTATGTTGATGCGGGGCTCGGCCCTGTGCCCTCCAAGTGGCGGGGCGAGTGCCAAACTGGCAAAAATTTTGATGCCAGCAGCTGCAATCGAAAGCTCATCGGTGCTCAGTTCTTCTCGAAGGGGTACGAGGCGGTGATGGGGCCGATCGATGAAACAAAGGAATCGAAATCACCAAAAGATGACGATGGCCATGGCACCCACACATCTACCACCGCTGCTGGGGCGTACGTCGAACATGCGAGCCTGTTCGGGTACGCTGAAGGCACGGCGCGGGGCATGGCGACCCGGGCGCGAATCGCAGCGTACAAGGTGTGCTGGGCAGGTGGGTGCTTCAGCTCAGACATCATAGCCGCCATGGATCGAGCAGTGGCCGACGGGGTCCACATTCTGTCCCTGTCGTTGGGCGGCGGGTCGATCGACTACGATCGGGACAGCATTGCGGTGGGTGCATTTGGGGCCATGGAGCACGGGGTGTTTGTGTCATGCTCGGCCGGTAATTCAGGGTCCGACACGTACAGTGTCTCCAATGTCGCCCCTTGGATAGCCACCATCGGAGCCGGCACGCTTGACAGGGATTTTCCGGCATACGTCGCACTGGGTAATGGCCAGAATTTCTCAGGAGTCTCGCTCTACAGTGGGAAGCCGCTGTCGCAGTCTCCATTGCCTTTCATTTACGCTGCCAATGCAAGCAACACCACGAACGGGAACCTGTGCCTTGATGGAACGCTGGTGGAGGAAAAAGTGGCCGGAAAAATTGTGCTTTGCGACCGAGGGGTGACTGCGAGAGTGGCGAAGGGCGCGGTCGTGAGAAAGGCGGGTGGTGTCGGGATGGTGCTCGCTAATACAGCCTCCAACGGAGAAGAACTCGTGGCCGACGCCCACCTCCTCCCTGCAACTGGAGTCGGCGAAAAATCCGGCGAAGAGATCAAGTCCTACTTGCTGTCAGACAAGAATCCTACCGCCAACATCGTCTTCTTGGGTACCAAGGTGAACATCCGGCCGTCCCCTGTTGTTGCAGCGTTCTCGTCTAGAGGGCCAAACCCTCTTACCTCTGCCATTCTAAAGCCGGACATGATTGCTCCGGGGGTTAACATCTTAGCAGGGTGGTCAGACACCATCGGGCCGACTGGTCTTCCCAGCGACACGCGACGTGTCGAATACAACATCATCTCCGGCACATCCATGTCCTGCCCTCACATCTCGGGCCTCGCGGCCCTCCTGAAGGCGGCGCACCCTGAGTGGAGCCCGGCCACCATAAAGTCGGCCCTCATGACAACTGCCTACAAAGTAGACAACACGGGAGAGATGCTCCGGGACGTAGCCACTGGCCGCCCGGCAACCTACTTCGACTTTGGTGCCGGCCACGTCGACCCCCAAAAGGCCCTCGACCCCCGCCTCGTCTACGACACGACACCAACAGATTACCTCGACTTCCTCTGTGCCCTGAACTATTCATCAACTCGAATCTCAGCCATAGCCAAACGTACCTACGCTTGTGGCAGCGGCAACAGCGTCGGCAACCTCAATTACCCGTCATTCGCTGTGCCGTTCGAGACCGCGACATCGACCGAGAGCAGCACACCCAAGGTCTTGACGTACTCTCGCACAGTGACAAACGTCGGGCAGCCAGCGACATACCGGGCGTCCGTCATCGGGGGCGACCCTGTGAAAATAACTGTGGAGCCTGAGAGCTTGACATTCGGGGAGAAGGGCCAGAAGAAGAGTTTCACTGTGACATTCACGGCCGGGTCGTTGCCCTCTGGCTCGATGAAGTTCGCCACGCTCGAGTTGTCCGATGGAACACGCACCGTGGCCAGCCCAATTGCCATGACCTGGACCTAGAGTGGGTGCATGGGTCTTCTTTTAACTTTATTTTTACAGGAAACAAAATGGTTTCCCGTTCTGTTTGATTCTGGGTTTTTAGAATTTAAAATTAGGAGCGTGATGTCCATGGATGTGGCATGGGAGAGAAAGGGGTTTCAATCTGCCGAAGAAGATTCCTTTCTCTCTGCGCCAAAGTTGTGGACAAAGAACAACAGGAAAGTGAAAAAGCAGTAACAATTGGCTGTTATGTACCATTCCACATTATAATAAATAGCTGATAATCACTAATCGCTGACTATTCCTGGGCTTCCATGTTTCAGCCGTAGCATATTCCGTGGAGCTATGGTCTAAAATATGGAATAAACGAGTATTTCCACCATTTTACTTAATCCATATTTTATGGCCACAAACAAGTATTTTTACGATTCTACCAACCAGTCAATTCCACTTAATCCCTATTTCATAGCCACATATCTTTTCTTTCCGGCTAAGGAATTTCTACCAACCAATTAATTCCACTTAATCCCTATTTCATAGCCACATATCTTTTCTTTCCGGCTAAAGAATGGGAAATCTTTCTCCTGTTACATGAATCAAATGTTTCATTTTATCTGGGAAAAGTCATCTATTTCTCAACAATGTCTTTGCCATTAGATCCAATAGCGTTCCGTTAGATAGGAACAGATTTGATAAATACTGATAACTCTCAGATGGCGTATTAGAACGGAAAGATCCATTAGATAATGAACCATTGGTGCTAAGACATCTCTGGCGATGAATCAACAAAGTATTCACTTACTATCTTATTAATAAGTCCATGGGGAGCTCTAGAAAAAGTTTATATAAGGTTGCAATCTTAAAATGTAGAATTAAAGATTCACCTCAAAAATCCATTGAAAAATATTGTTTTAATGTCGAAAACCTCTCTAATTGATCTTCTCGACATCGAGATGTACCAATATAAATAAAATAAAATAAAATTTGAGTCTCTAAATAGTGCATCTTGCAATATCTAGACTCTCCATTTTCAAGATTTTTATAAGTTTATAGATCTAGTTGATTTTAACCATTTTTGAAGTTCAAAATTTTATAAATAAAATTTGGAGGTATACCTTAAATGGATTGTTTAAGGTTACAACCTTATAGAAACCATACTTTTTAAAAAATGCTCTCTACGCAACATAAGTCATATGTAAGGATGGTGACACATATGTATACGTATATGTCTTATGCTTTACATGTAAGGCATAAAGAATGTGGTCTTATCTATATTATATTATTAAGCTAGAGTTAAGGGATGGATGCAGTCTGAAAAATAAAAAAAAGAGCCTAATTCTATAGAGATTGTAAGGGACACTTCCATCATTAGAGAAAAGAGAGATTCTAATTATAGAGAGAGAATTAATCAGCATCTTTTATGACCTTTATTAATAATTAGTATGTGTATATATATCTTTTGTTACTTCTACATCATAAAAAGAAAATAACTAACTAAATATAGAAACAATGTCACTTGCTTCTACATCACAAAAAGAAAATAAGTAACAAAATAAAGAAGTAATGTCACTATACACACCTCGACATGGGGGTCCTAAACCGATTTAGATGGGGAACCAAATTTGAGAGAGAGCATTTTTCAAACCCAATCACACAACTTTAGGGATAGACTAATTAATAATAATAATAATAAGTAACGAAATAAATAAACAATTCACTATATGCACTTCCTAGAGGGGGTGTCCCTAAACGGATATAGATGGGGAACCAAATTTGAGAGAGAGAGTACTTCCATACCCAATCACATAATTATAGTGATAGACTAATTTCTTTCTAAAATGTTGAGATGAAGATAGAGTTAGAAAGTAGCTAAGGAGATGAGATATATGGAGAGAGATTTAATGAGAGGATCTAAATAGGTGATATATTCATCTTTTTTTAAAGAATATCTTTTTAAGGAAATAATTCCGCCAACTCCATATTGCTTAATATCTATCTCTTCATCGCTTCCAAAATTTTTCTTCAAGTAAAAAATCTACGAGATATTTGATACTCTCTAAATATATGAACTGTAAATAGAGATGAACATGTTAAAGAAAGAAAGTTGTAAGTTTTTTCTCTTTTTTTGAATAAAAATACGATATGAAAATATAAATAGAGATGAAAACATTAGGGAGAAAGCATCTCCCATCACCCAACCTTGCTTTTTTTTTTGGGTAAATTAGTGGGGGAGAAAGCCCCTTACCTTGTTTATATTTATTAAATAAGACGAAGTACAACTCACTATCTTACAACCCTATAATAGGGCAGTTGGGCCACATCATGAAATAAAGAAACGGAAAGAAAATTAGAAGATTAGCATGCCAAATGGTTTCATTTGAAAAAATTATAGCTTTTTTGGTAAGTACATCTGCCTCCATATTAGTCTCACGAAAAATATGATAAGTCGACCATGAGCGGTTTGCAAGTCTATATTGGTAATTAGCAGCTATTATGTGTAGTACCCATGGAGATTTATAGCTGCCCTGAATGACTTGTACCAGTAGAGAGGAATGGCTTTCGATCAGTAGACCAAAATAATCCATCCGAATAGCAAAATCCACACTTGCTTCCAAGGTTCGGAATTCTGTAAAATTATTTGAAGTCAGACCGAGGGATGGAAAATGCAACAAAGAAAGATCCATCATCCTTTTCAATGACTTCTCCACATGCCGGTGTTCCTAGGTTCCAAATAGAAGATCCATCAATATTTTACTTGAAGTTCTTAGGCTTTGGAAATGTCCACGCAATCGGAATGAGGGAATTATCTGCTACTACCATTTTTGAAATGTGATATGACCACTCTTTAATATTTGCAAGTTCACTAACATCACAAGTGATCCTTCTTATCATTTCTTCATGCCTACATTCCGTTCTTTGATACTTATGTCGATTGTGCTCTTCCCAGTGCATCCAAATTGCCATGAAAAATAAAATAAAAATCTGAATATTTTGAATTCCCTCTTACTTAAATCGAAAAGCTATCCAATTTCTTAAAGTAGATGCAATAGTTGAATCTGGATTGAATATTTTACTACATCTCCATGCAATCGATCTCCATATTCGCTGCGAATAAACACATTCAAGCAAAAGATGAAATATGTTATTATTATTAGCATGACAACAGGGACATTGAGGATCTTTAGAAGACAAGACAATTCCTCTTTGCTGCAAAATATAGTAGATGGACAGACAATGATGAACGTCCAACCAAAAAAATGTTTTTACGTTAGGGTGGCAATTTGAAGACCACAATGCTCTGAAAATAAGTTGGGGGAGTCCATGTGTCGAATAAACTGCCAAGCTTCTTTCATCATAAATAACCCATTAGAAGAGTGGATCCATATAAGAAAGTCCTGGTACACACACATACATATACACATATGTAATACGGAGTCCTGACACAACTTGATCTAAAGAGGGCTTCTGACTAGAGGGTTTGGTGGTAGGGGTAGGGGTAGGTAGGACTACTCTAGGGTTGTCCTATGTTTAGGACATAGAACAACCAAACTATACATTTGTCCTACATTTCAAACATTAGACCGACCTCTAATGGACCTCTGAACTATCAAACATCCCTACAGCAGAAGACAAAAAATTAAAAATGAGTCCGAGCGTGAAGATTTGTGAGATTGAGGAAGATAATGGAGAAAGAGCAGAGATTGCCTCGTGAAGGAAGTAGAGAGAGGGAGAGCTTTGAGATAAGGATGATTGAGATTGAGAGAGATATAGGAAAGAGTTCCTAATCGTCTAATTCCCTAGGGAAAAAAGAAATTTTTTTTACAAGATTGGTGAGATCAAAGACTTTCATTGTGATCTAGATTTTGCTTCTTCCGGAGTCAAATCAGGGGTTGTTATCCTTAAATCAAGAGAGAGAGCAGGAGATGGGAATGTGAAGAGCGTTTTGGAGGTTGCTGTATTAACGGTCAGAGCTGATAATGTTAGGTTCTTCTTTTGATACGAGACATTGGGATATTGAAGAAAGAAAAACCCAATATTCTCTTCACATAAGGATTCAAGTGACATTGATCCAGTACAAGTTGCGAGCCCTAATTTACCAAAAGATAAATTAAGCAGTCTTAGAGAGAGAGAGGAGCATCATAGTAAGAGAGATATGATAAAAGATGAGTGCTGATTGTTAGAGAGAAAATATTAAAGAGAGAGGGGGGAGAGAGACAATTTGCATGGCGAAGGGATAGAGAGAGAGAGAGAACAACCTTGGAGTCCCATCCACCATAGATGCAACGAAGCTGAGACAATCTGGCTGTAAGCTCAATGTCAAGAAGGATCTGAATACAACCGAGCAACGAAAATATAACCTTTTTGGTATGCCCTTCAATTTGGCTTATGATATCAATGATGGGGAGAAGAAGGGATGGAACCTGGTAAGCCATCTTTTGCTGAGATCTTGCGTACCCCTACAGGTACCTTTTTTCAAAGAAACCCTACGGTGCTTGTGAGCGATGAGATCATCAGAGAATGAGAAAAATGATTACTTTCAGCGATGATAGTTACTTTCAAAAGGGAGTTTGGTGAGATTGATTTGTTTAAAAAATGGGTGGATAGGACTTGGTCTTCTATTCCTAGTCTTTGTCGGTCCATTCTTGGACGTAAAATTATTTGTTTTCTTGGATCTACAATAGAAGCCAACAAAGTAGTCTCGCAGCACTTTTGAAAGTTTAGAGGTCTAGATTGTGTTGCTGATAAATGGGTTCCTGCTTTAGAGACTTCTATGATTAAACGAAGATCTTATTGGCTTGTAGTGTCTAGTATTCCAATCATCGCTCGGTCTTCTACTATTTTTAGAGTTGTGGCCAATCTTTGTGGTCGTCTTATTAAGATTGATTGAAATCTGACTAACTATCATTCCTTGGTCTTTTTGGTGGAAATGCGAGGATTGCAATATCCCAAGGAAGGTATCCTTAAGCTTTAGGCTTTCGATTTTAAATTATCCTTTACAGAGATCAATGTATAGAATGGAAGAGTTGGGGTACCACCTCCGATAGCGATCCATGTATAGAATGGAAGAGTAGGGGAATATTAATGTTTATCAGAAAGTATGGAATGATGAGTTCAATGGACGAATTGCAGATCCGATTTGTGAGGTTAGGGACAGCCACATGGAGGATGGAAAGGAAGTCAATCCTCTCTTCCTATTTTTAAGAAAATGCCTTTTTTCAAGAAGCAAGTATGGATTCTTAAGAATAGAAAGTTTGAGGTAGCGTCCGTAGGAAATATGGATACTTCTATTC